CCCAAATTCACTGAATCATTATTGTTCACCCATACTCATTATTATGCAGGATAACAAAGTAACAATAAATCATAAAGAGTAACAGCAATTAGTTACGAACCTTAAGCCTGACACATGACATCTATTGCAGGAACAACTGCCTTTGCAACTTTATTTTTTATTGCTTTCTCCATAGCATCCTAGTCAGGAAAGTCATATTAGAGAATTATGCCTTATTTCACAAGCCTAAACTTAAATTTCCTTGATGTAAATAGCCCACCTAAACATAATTTTAGAATGGAAATATTCAAGGGAGCAGTTGCTATTGGATCACAACACAGCCAATAGAATAAATACTAACATTTGGTTTACATGAAATTGAAAATGCATAAGCATTCTAGTAGCAGAGGAGCCCATCTCACTCTGCATTCTTCCTAACTTTTCTTAATTATTAGCTCACTATTTTGATGGCAAAAAAAATTCCCAAACACCAGTAAGAGAAGATGCTCATTATAAAAGCTATATGCAGAATCAATAACACTCGTCCTCTTCTTCTCCATGTTGAGCAAGTCCCTACCACTTTTGTGAGAAAAGTACACTACATAATTATAATGGTAATTTTAATCGTAAAAGGTTTTTTTTTTTCTGAACTCATCACCTCTAAGTAGGATTGAATTATTTTGGAATAAGAGTGTGTTGTGAACTTTCGGCCTTTTTTCTTCAAATCCTGTACCACACTTGTAAAGGATAATCCTTTAGATAAGGCTAGCTGAAAGGTTGTGATCTCTCTAAAATCAACACCTCAATTAAACAACAATTCTTCATAGTACAGAGGAAGTTAAGGAGGACAATAACCTAATAAATTTTAGAAAGAAACCCAAGATGCTTGAAGGAATCCAACAATATTTAACTTTCTTTGCTTGTTCAGTTTACTTGATCCACTCTAAATGATCCTATACTTAGATAAACCTACAAGTTTTGCTCCTCAGAACACCACAAACCAGATGAAGTGTACAAGTTTGAATAAGACTTCGTTTGTTGGAGTCCAGAAATAAGTAAAAAAAAAAAAATTGTTAAAAAGGTTCAAAAAGAGGAGGAAAAAAGAAAGGGAAAAAAGCAATTAATTCCACCATAATTCAAAGTTGGGAATCAAAGCAGATATTGTCTTAAAAATTGCATAGACAAACTAACCATGGATGCCTTTGAGAAGATTGGTTTCCCTTCCATGCTTTAAGCATATCTTCTGGAAAAACAATATGTTTGGTTTAAGTTTAGCCAATATTTTTGATAGAATGATAAGATTCTGGCTGTAAATATGCAAAATCGTCATAAAAACCATCATTCTAGGCTTGACCAAATTCATATTCGGATTTTATCTAGGACTTGCTAAACATCCGGGACCACATTCTTCCCATCACTATTTATAACTGAATCCCGTGGTGCTCGGAGTGCAATGTGAAGGACAGGCCCCTTTTCTGTAATATTTATCCGAAGAAACCACCAAAACAAAGGAGTAAGGGTTAGATGACAAATGCCAAAGTGACTGATGAACAAAGTTTGGCCAATTTGAAAAGACTGATCTTGTAAGAAAAGTTATTAACAAAAGAAAGCCTGAAACTTTCTTTTCATTTTCTTTTTAATTTTGTCAACAAGTTTAGAAGCCACCAATTGGTGTGTAAACATTCTAGTTTCTGGTGGATGACATAAATCACAATCACTCACCAGATACCAATGATCTAAACAAGACATTGTTTTACCCAAACCATAAACTTCGTAATACTCAGCAGCAAAGATACAATCTACTCAACAAACATTTGGTTTTACCGGTGTGACAAAACTTAGCAAAATAAAACCTTGACTTACCCGCTCTCCATTGAACATCCGATTAATCTTTTCTTGGAGATGAGCTGCCTGCATCACCGCACCAGTATAATTAATCAGATTTTCACATCATATTCACACCAAAAGATAATGATTCAACGTTAGCTCGCCTCTGCTAAACTGTGGAGCTTATTCAAGGTGTCAAGATTGGTACATTGCCTTGAATAGTCCAACAAAATCCCATCAAATTAGCTGTATGCAATAGTAATAAAGAAAAATATTAACACAACTACATAGAGTCCAATCTTAAATTCAAACTTCCGAATATCACACACCATTATAGACTTGCATCACTCGGTGTTGGACATCAAGTCACGCAAATGGGTCCTCTTAATGTCCTCAACATGTGCCTGGAAATGCACAAGTATGTTACATCAACACACACATAATTTACATGTATAGAATAGACCCAGATCAAAAAACAAATCAACCAAATCAAGATTTTAAATACATGATTAATGGCTATAAATTTCAATGGGAAAGCACGAAAAATGAAGCCTAAAATACTTGGGCTCCAATGCAATCGATGAAAAATAAACTTACCTTCAATTTACAAGCACATAATTCTCATAATATCTTGACAAACGAAAAGTCGAAAACAGATTATTACCTTGTATAAAGCAAAATCCAATCTAAATCTAAATTTGAATAAATGAGAGCATGAAAATCTGGGTTGGGGCATTTCTTAATTTTATAGATTCGTGATCAGATCTGTTGGCAAAGGAACCCACGCAATTTCCCATGATGTGGTCCTCTGACAGAGGTAGCAGTGGAGCTCTCCGTGGTGCACGGGAAAGTCTCTTGAATGATGCTGATGCCTTTGTGGTTTTTTTTTTTCTTTTGATATGGGTCTCCGTAGCTGCATGGAAATCCAAAGGAACACAGGCGGTAATTAAAAGTGACAAAGAAACATGAAAAAAAATGAAAAAATAAAAATTCAAATAAAGGCAGGAAAAAGCTTGAAATCACTACTATCCACTTCCTGTGAAAATTTTCAGGTCGTTGGTGTGGAACTGTTCCCTTTTCCAGCCAAAGAGATTCACACAAGTTTGAACAAAGAGAAGAGAGAAAATTGAATGGCTAACATTAGGAAAAACCAACAATACAGAAGAAGAGCAAAAGGGTATTCATCCCTAGATGTCGACTTCTCATCAATTTTGTAAATTCAATCAAGGATTCATCTTAAAGTAAATTAACATTTAAAGTATAAGCCAAAAATTTCAAACCAACAATTCCATCCGTCTCAGGATCAAATACCAAAAAATTGCTGAAATTTTATTGTGATGTAGGTGAAGGAACTGAGATTGGAGATCACAACAACATATCCGCTCCAATCTTCCTCCATTGCACAATAACATATCCGCTCCAATCTTCCAGGCATTATCTTTACACAGTACTTTTTAATTACCATATGCCATTTTGCAATCTTAACCAAATAAGCCCTAAATATTATGAGCATATACACAGGAATATCAAAAGGTAGAAATACAAAACAAATTTTCCCCTTTTTAGACATGTAAAAAGGGGACAGAGAATACATTTTTACCTTGATCAAAGCATGAAA